CCTGATTTACATCATACCCACCATACTGTAAAAATTCTTTATATGGAATATAGTGCATCTATATTTGAGAATAGTGAATTAAAAAAAACACTCATCATTTATTAGCAAAAAATAAGAAATTAAAAATATTATGTGGTATTCTTTATATTTAATATCTTACCTTTGTTTCAAATGTTACTTTAAAAAGAGGATATCGAGACTCTTTTCTGAAAATATTTCGAAAAAATATGTAGCCACAGTTTCATTAGTGTTCTTTTATTTTCATCTTCATACTGTGTATATTTTGTACATTTATTCTGGCGAGATAAAATTCAACTGTTTCATTTCTTTTTTGAACTAGTTTTGTTAAACAAAAAATATCTCCTAAACCTTTTACTTCAAAAGGGTGTAATGTAAAAATTACACTTTTACTCTTAATACCTGCTTGAAGTCTATTTAATTATTTTCCACATCTGAATCTGGGATCTCAATTGTTGCAACTCTTAACTAGTTTTGATAGCTTGAGGAGGTGAGCTGGTACCTGCCTACGAAGCAAAGACCAGTGCTTCAAAGTGATTGTTGGGAAGCCTCCTTTGCGGAATTATGCTATAGCAATGATGCCACACAAATACATTAGACTTGGAGATGTTTAATTGGTTATACACTATTGCTGAACCTTAGTTTGATCAGCACCTTTTGGTGACGTTTCTTGTCTTTCGGGTCGATATCGCCCAGGTGGAATAAGTAAATATCAAATTTGTCGAGAATATCTGTGAACGTGTTCCTACAACAAGTAATGATCAAAGGCTGCTTTCAAAATACATGTAGTATATTATATTGTTAGCAACCGTTAAATATGATTTATTTCCAAAAAGTTTCCACAGACCGCAGTCTTTCTTCAACAGCTTTCATTCTAATACTGTCAGCCTGCCACAGAACACACTTCACAGACATGGGGGGGGGGGGGCGAACCAGCAAACTAAAATTTGTTGAAGCCTGTGTGAATTATTTCCTCTTGGCACTTCCAGAAAATGAAAGGACCGAATTTGCTTCATTTTTAGCATTTATATCTTGTCAATTTATGACATGATGGAAATAAATAGCAAGGGTTAATTGACCCGTAAACTGCGACATACATATGATAAACATCATGCAACTGCGACTAGCATCATATGGTGCAAAAGCTATTTATAAACTTGGTGGTTTATATTTTGCAGCAATATATCGTGATCTGACGTTTGCAACTAAGGCAGCTTTATTACATCAACACAACTGAAGGAGGATGGATAATGAAATTGTTATTCCTATACTTTCTATGCAATCCTTTATCTTATAACAGTAAAATTATTTTTGTAATATAATAACTTTTGTGTCGATAATCGCGCACCACGGGTATGACTGCCGTAACCTTATCGTGCAGTTGTCGTGTTAAATAAGGCTAGTATTCAGTCAGAAATAATTCGCTTATAATTTTAAGTTCCTTCATAAAATGTTCTTCACTTAATAGTAGATTAACAATTCAGATTTTTTTTGGGGGGTGGGGGTGTCGGGCGGGGAGGATTTACCTTTACCTCTATAGTGTAGTTATGATAATAAATACAATAATGTAACTGACTTTGCGGACAAGCACTAGGCTGAAGTGTGAATGCCTATGCTACCTAAAACATTTAATGCAGGCGTTTACCTTCTAGTGTGCCAGCAGGATGAAAAGGTGCCTTGCAATGACTCCAGAGGCTGTTATTTTCCCACTGAGAAATGCGACGGCCTGATACAATGTCACGATGCATCGGACGAGCTTCAGTGTTCATGTTTCGAACGCATGCATTCTGCAGGCAAACGTTGTGATTCTTATCCGGATTGTCCAGATTTCTCAGATGAACGGGCTGTGACGGTAAGTAATACACACAAGCGGTAAGGGCGTTGTAATATAAATTTCAATTTAATTTTTATTTAATAGTGGCACCAATAACCTCTCTCCAGGCTGTTCCCCCTGGGAGCTGAGTTGTGAGGAAAATGGAACCATCACATGTGTACCGGAAGCAGCTCTCTGCGATGGATATTCAGACTGTGCTGATAATTCTGATGAACAGCTTTGCTCAAGGCTCTCGCGAAGGCAAGCTGATACTTCTGTGAGTCCTGGATTTCTATTATTTTCTAGCACTCGCTTATTCAGCTTGTTTGGTTACAGACAAAAAAAAGTCTGCTGTTATTACCATGTTTACAGATCTAAAATGTTTGTCATACTTTTTATCTGTTTAGAAATTAAGAATGTCTTAAGTATGATAATTTTACATATTGCCGATGACAAATGATGAGCAAAGCCATTCTGTTTTACAGCCACTACTTACCTTGCATAACGAAGGTTATCTGGAGCTGAAGAGAGATGGGTTCTGGCGTCCTCTTTGTGCTGACTTGGAAACCAATTATGCCGAAGTTGTTATGGATCACTGTGATGAGGTAGTTGGATCAAGGTAAGGCTAATTTAACCGTTTATCGGTTACTGATAAATTCATTTACAAACAATAATTAAGCAAATAAATATCTGTGCATGTTCATTTATGCAATTTCATGTATGAGCTGGGATAGGTAAAGCATGGCTATTCGTAGTGGAAGCATTGTTAGCCATTTGGGCAGCAAAATGGGTATCAGATTTTTTTTTATTAGGGCAGCTTTTTTATGTATATACTATATAAAATATTGATCTATGCAGTAGGTTTATTCACAAAAATTTACTCTTTTATCTACTTTGTTACACTGAGAACTAAAAATTATCAAGATTGTGTTTCGTCAATGTCAGACCACCGAGCACCGGAAATCCTTTGCTACGTCCCCTCAAAAAAATCATTGCCTGTATGCCGAGGGTTGAGAAAGTTGGTGACAGCATTGGTGAAGGAGAAATGGGGCCAAGAACTACCAGATGTGAAGTCGGAGCGCTCCTGAAAGAGGAAGTGGCCTGGGAGGTGGGGAGGGTCTAGGTAGAATCATGAGCAGCATCAGCCATGCATTGGGAGACGGGTCTTAGACCAATTCCTTTAGGAAGTCAGAGCGTAGACATGAAGGAAACAGAAATGGATGTGTGTATATTTTATATATATATACGTGTGTGCGTGTGTGTGTTTGTGTATAAAATTACTGTTGGTGTCGAAAAAGAAGTCATTGACTTATGTTGCATTTAATGCAGATTTTTGAAAAATTGCCCTCTCTTTCTCCACAGACATACTGAGGATATTCAGAATCTTGTACCATTCACTGGAACTGGGCCAACAATGTGGGTTCACTATAACGATACGTCCAAGACTTTCTCGGTTTCCTCCCACTGTGGCCAACATCTACTTTTATATGTAAAATGCTCAGTGCCGACTTGTGGAAGTCAGACAGTCAGAAAGCGTGAAAGTCGGCCAGTCAGACAGCGCAGGAAGATCAACCTCTATGAAAAAAGTAAGTTGTTACCAATTAGGAGAAACTTGATCATTGATAATATAATGTGATGAGAGAATTAGTTATTGATGCGAGAGATAAATACTATTAGCGAAACCCAAAACAAGTATACAAGAGCTGTCGGCAGACTTTATATTGGCTATGCATGTATAATTATCACGAGTAACAATACATTTCTATAACTTAAATTCTTTCATCTGCCTCTAACACTATTGATATCTTGTTATAATATTAGGACTGTAGGTTGAAATTTAAATAGCTAATGCAGGATTCCTCAGTATTTATTTAACATTAATCGTTTTGTGAAATTACGAGACATTTATAAAATCTTTATTTTCCATGAAATATTCAAGGCTATTAGATTGTAGCCGTGACTGTATTTGAAAGAAAATGGACAAATATTTTAATACAATCAGTATCACTAATCCTAATTGTGCCCTTGGTGAATGGGCCTTCATATAAACCATTCTATAAATTATCTATTACATATTAGTAACCAATAAAATGAAACGTAGAAATAAGAAAATGCTCCTTTCCCGCTTTAATATAACCTATTAGTATCACCGCAGATTTAGATCTCTCTCTCTGGTGTGACGCTCATTTCCAAGTAGACACTAGTAAAACTAGTAGGATTATGGAATGAAATATACTGTCCAAACTAATTTGAAGAAGCTAATCTCCTTACGCCACAAACATACAGGTGTTGAAAGTTCGCGGCCACATCGCGGTCTTAACAGGATTGTCGGCGGCCGGGAAGCGGAAGCTAATGTTTGGAGCTTTGCCGTCGGAATCATCGGCGACGGCAAATACCACTGTGGCGGAACTATCCTCACGTCAGAGTGGATTCTTACTGTTTCGCATTGTTTTTCTGATTTGTAAGGATGATGGGGAGTTGGGGATTTCCGTAATACTTGCATTATTAATGCACTCCTGAAAAAATTATTGTGCATAAACCAATGATTGTATTTTCAGTTATATTCAACGAAATTTCGAAGTTCAGGCAGGAATGTATCGGCGCGGTTCCTGGTCTCCATTTGAACAGACCTCTGTTGTCTCTCGCGTGATTCGTCACCCGGAATTTAACTCCCTTCTACAGAATGATGTGGCACTCCTCAAACTAGAGACTCCTCTTCACCTAAACAGGTGATTGAAACCTCCTCCTAATTCAAAAAAGTGAAGGCCGTTTGCAATTATGAAATACTTATGAGAAATAATTTTTATAGTTTAGTTGCTTACTCCTTTTTTGTTGCAGATGGGTCCGTCCTGTGTGTTTGGCAAGAGACCTGCAGCCAAAGGAGAGAGGATTACTGTACTGTAGCAGGATGGGGAACGCAAATAGAGGGCGAAACACAATCAAAGTGTAAATAATTACCTTTTGGGATTTTGTTCTAATAACACAATGCTAACTCATATGAATGTTTCAAAATTATACCCTTTTCTCCCAATACGATTCAGCGGATACCATGATGGAAGTCGATGTTCCAATCTTAGACACCTGTATAAACAGTTTTCCGGGATATAGCGACGAGTCTTTAATATGCGCTGGATATGAGGAAGGCATGAAGGATGCTTGTGCAGGGACTCCGGCGGCCCATTGATGTGCTTGGGGTAAAGTGTTCTTTTCAACAAAATGAGCCTTTTCTCATGCATTGCATCAGTGGGTCTTTTCTCATGCACTGCATAAGCGTGTAATGACATTAGTACTTATGTTGAAATAAAATAGCATCAGCTCTCATGATGTCCATAGGTGAATATATTGTGTATAAAAGCTAATATTCCCAGGGACTCGGAAGGCTGGGTGCAAGCTGGGATAGTCTCCTTCGGGCGCGGCTGCGCTCGACCCAACGAGCCTGGGTCCTATTCCAGGATCACCCACTTTCGCTCATGGATAATGGAAACCTTGGGTGAGTAATCTGCAATTGATTCCAAAGTGAAAATTTAAAATCTCGTTCATAATCCTAGGTCTAATATCGTAATTGGCATTCAAATTGCCAGAACATTTACTGCAGGGATTTCAGAGGTGTAAATCAAATTTCTCGTCTAATGCATTGTATTGTGTAACACAACACCGATCTCTAGAACTCTCATAAATCATCACTAAAGACATGAAATTTTCTTAGCTGCTCTACATTCGGGTTAAAGAATTGAAAATCACCATTTTCCCTCATTACTGTATCAAGGTATTGCGCGTTTAACTATATCTTCACATCCCCTGGTCCTTACTTTATAGCATGGATATGAAAGCTTTTTGCAAATATTTCAAAATCCACTGAGGTCTGATTCCCGGCGCTGTGTTCGAATGAACCAAAATAAAATCATGGCATCTCTTGAAGAAAGCCTATGGAAAGCGTTCAGAAATACTGCAAGGTGAAATCTTATTAGCTTGCCTCAATATTCTTAGATTGTTTTTATTTCTCTCGTGCAATATGCCCAGCCCCCCTCTCTCGTGCAATATGCCCAGCCCCCCCTCTCGTGCAATATGCCCAGCCCCCTCTCTCGTGCAATATGCCCAGCCCCCTCTCTCGTGCAATATGCCCAGCCCCCCTCTCTCGTGCAATATGCCAGCCCCCTCTCTCGTGCAATATGCCCAGCCCCCTCTCTCGTGCAATATGCCCAGCCCCCCTCTCTCGTGCAATATGCCCAGCCCCCCTCTCTCGTGCAATATGCCCAGCCCCCCTCTCTCGTGCAATATGCCCAGCCCCCCTCTCTCGTGCAATATGCCCAGCCCCCCTCTCTCGTGCAATATGCCCAGCCCCCCTCTCTCGTGCAATATGCCCAGCCCCCCTCTCTCGTGCAATATGCCCAGCCCCCCTCTCTCGTGCAATATGCCCACCCCCCTCTCTCGTGCAATATGCCCAGCCCCCTCTCTCGTGCAATATGCCCAGCCCCCCTCTCTCGTGCAATATGCCCAGCCCCCTCTCTCGTGCAATATGCCCACCCCCCTCTCTCGTGCAATATGCCCAGCCCCCCTCTCTCGTGCAATATGCCCAGCCCCCCTCTCTCGTGCAATATGCCCAGCCCCCCTCTCTCGTGCAATATGCCCAGCCCCCCTCTCTCGTGCAATATACCCAGCCCCCTCTCTCGTGCAATATGCCAGCCCCCCTCTCTCGTGCAATATGCCCAGCCCCCCTCTCTCGTGCAATATGCCCAGCCCCCCTCTCTCGTGCAATATGCCCAGCCCCCCTCTCTCGTGCAATATGCCCAGCCCCCCTCTCTCGTGCAATATGCCCAGCCCCCCTCTCTCGTGCAATATGCCCAGCCCCCTCTCTCGTGCAATATGCCCAGCCCCCCCTCTCGTGCAATATGCCCAGCCCCCCTCTCTCGTGCAATATGCCCAGCCCCCCTCTCTCGTGCAATAAGCCCAGCCCCCCTCTTTCGTGCATTATGCCTAGCCCCCCTCTTTCGTGCATTATGCCTAGCCCCCCCTCTCTCGTGTAATATGCCCAACCCCCTTCTCTCGTGCAATATGCCCAGCCCCCCTCTCTCGTGCAATAAGCCGCCCCCCTCTCTCGTGCAATAGCCCAGCCCCCCTCTTTCGTGCATTATGCCCAGCCCCCCTCTTTCGTGCATTATGCCTAGCCCCCTCTTTCGTGCATATGCCTAGCCCCCCCTCTCTCGTGTAATATGCCCAACCCCCTTCTCTCGTGTAATATGCCCAGCCCCCCTTCTCGTGCAATATGCCCAGCCCCCCCCCTCGTGCAATATGCCCAGCCCCCCCCCCCTCGTGCAATATGCCCAGCCCCCCTCTCTCGTGCAATATGCCCAGCCCCCCTCTCTCGTGCAATATGCCCAGCCCCCCTCTCTCGTGCAATATGCCCAGCCCCCCTCTTCGTGCATTATGCCAGCCCCCCCTCTTCGTGCAATATGCCCAGCCCCCCCCCTCTCTCGTGCAATATGCCCAGCCCCCCTCTCTCGTGCAATATGCCCAGCCCCCCCCTCTCTCGTGCAATATGCCCAGCCCCCCCTCTCTCGTGCAATATGCCCACCCCCCCCTCTCTCGTGCAATATGCCCAGCCCCCCTCTCTCGTGCAATATGCCAGCCCCCCCCTCTCTCGTGCAATATGCCCAGCCCCCCTCTCTCGTGCAATATCCCAGCCCCCCCTCTCTCGTGCAATATCCCAGCCCCCCTCTTTCGTGCATTATGCCCAGCCCCCCTCTCTCGTGCAATATGCCCAGCCCCCCTCTCTCGCGTGTAATATGCCCAGCCCCCCCTCTCTCGTGCAATATGCCCACCCCCCTCTCTCGTGTAATATGCCCAGCCCCCCTCTCTCGTGTAATATGCCCAGCCCCCCTCTCTCGTGTAATATGCCCACCCCCCTCTCTCGTGTAATATGCCAGCCCCCCTCTCGTGTAATATGCCCAGCCCCCCCTCTCGTGCATTATGCCCAGCCCCCTCTCTCGTGTAATATGCCCAGCCCCCCTCTCGTGCATTATGCCTGCCCCCCTCTCTCGTGTAATATGCCCACCCCCTCTCTCGTGTAATATGCCAGCCCCCTCTCTCGTGTAATATGCCCCCCCCCCTCTCTCGTGTAATATGCGCAGCCCCCTCTCTCGTAATATGCCAGCCCCCCTCTCTCGAATATGCCCAGCCCCCCTCTCTCGTGCAATATGCCCAGCCCCCCCTCTCTCGCAATATGCCCAGCCCCCCTCTCTCGTGCAATATGCCCAGCCCCCCTCTCGTGCAATATGCCCAGCCCCCTCTCTCGTGCAATATGCTAGCCCCCTCTCTCGTGCAATATGCCCAGCCCCCCTCTCTCGTGCAATATGCCCCCCCCTCTCTCTCGTGCAATATGCCCAGCCCCCCCCTCTCTCGTGCAATATGCCAGCCCCCCCCATTTCTCTCGTGCAATATGCCCAGCCCCCCCCCCATTTCTCTCGTGCAATATGCCCAGCCCCCCCCTCTCTCGTGCAATATGCCAGCCCCCCCTCTCTCGTGCAATATGCCCAGCCCCCCTCTCTCGTGCAATATGCCCAGCCCCCCTCTCTCGTGCAATATGCCCAGCCCCCCTCTCTCGTGCAATATGCCCAGCCCCCTCTCTCGTGCAATATGCCCAGCCCCCCCTCTCTCGTGCAATATGCCCAGCCCCCCCCCCCATTTCTCTCGTGCAATATGCCCAGCCCCCCCTCTCTCGTGCAATATGCCCAGCCCCCCCCCCATTTCTCTCGTGCAATATGCCCAGCCCCCCCCCATTTCTCTCGTGCAATATGCCCAGCCCCCCTCTCTCGTGCAATATGCCCAGCCCCCCCTCTCTCGTGCAATATGCCCAGCCCCCCCCTCTCTCGTGCAATATGCCCAGCCCCCCTCTCGTGCAATATGCCAGCCCCCCCTCTTTCGTGCATTATGCCATAGCCCCCCCTCTCGTGCAATATGCCCAGCCCCCTCTCTCGTGCAATATGCCCAGCCCCCGCTCTTTCGTGCAATATGCCAGCCCCCCGCTCTCTCGTGCAATATGCCCAGCCCCCGCTCTCTCGTGCAATATGCCCAGCCCCCCCTCTCTCGTGCAATATGCCCAGCCCCCCCTCTCGTGCAATATGCCCAGCCCCCCCCTCTCTCGTGCAATATGCCCAGCCCCCCCTCTCTCGTGCAATATGCCCAGCTCCCCCCTCTCTCGTGCAATATGCCCAGCCCCCCTCTCTCGTGCAATATGCCCAGCCCCCCCCTCTCTCGTGCAATATGCCCAGCCCCCCCCTCTCTCGTGCAATATGCCCAGCCCCCCCTCTCTCGTGCAATATGCCCAGCCCCCCCCTCTCTCGTGCAATATGCCCAGCCCCCCCTCTCTCGTGCAATATGCCCAGCCCCCCCTCTCTCGTGCAATATGCCCAGCCCCCCTCTCTCGTGCAATATGCCCAGCCCCCCTCTCTCGTGCAATATGCCCAGCCCCCCGTTCTCTCGTGCAATATGCCCAGCCCCCCCTCTCTCGTGCAATATTCCCAGCCCCCCCTCTCGTGCAATATGCCCAGCCCCCCCCCCTCTCTCGTGCAATATGCCCAGCCCCCCCTCTCTCGTGCAATATGCCCAGCCCCCCGTTCTCTCGTGCAATATGCCCAGCCCCCCCCTCTCTCGTGCAATATGCCCAGCCCCCCCCCTCTCTCGTGCAGTAATGCCCAGCCCCCCTCTCTCGTGCAAATATGCCCAGCCCCCCCCTCTCTCGTGCAATATGCCCAGCCCCCCCCTCTCTCGTGCAATATGCCGCCCCCCGTTCTCTCGTGCAATATGCCCAGCCCCCCCTCTTTCGTCTGTTAGATGCCGCTTAGTCATCTTTTCACGGCCATATATCATGTATCATCATGGGTAAACACAATCTTGTGTACTTAAAAAGTTTGAGTTTAATTATTAGCCGTTTCCTGTATCTACTTCTAGCCTTAAACAAGGCATTCTTCTGTCATTACCATTCATAACTTCAAATCCTCTGTCCTTTCCCATTGTTTAATATATGTATGATACATGGGATATTAGAAATAGTCTAGTGAAGGCAAAGCGATTCGAGGGCTACGGAATTCGTACTTGTAATTCAGCTAACAGATGAAAAATACGTGTGTCGTTTACATAGCAGTATGTGTAAGCGAAGCAGCTGATTGGCCC